TTGAAGCCTTGAAACCCGAAAACGTGGCGAGTGAATCCCTTAGAGGATGGATAAGAACTTAGAAGCCAAGGGTGGCGGAGCCTTATATTTCATGGACCGGATCTGGACACTGAAACACGGTGGCTTCAGAGACTTGGTCATGACCGAGTCACACAACATTCGATATTCCGTTCACCCAGGTTCAGATAAGATGTATCTGGATCTTAAAAATTTATACTTGTGGCCTAACATGAAAGCAGAGATTGCTACCTTCGTGAGTAAATGCCTTACTTGCGCAAAGGTTAAGGGTTGCCAACATATCATCTTCTTCCGCCACCACCAGCCATCATGAGGAGGTGGTTGTGTGCATGATTTGGTGTGTGTGTGTGTGTGTATAGTTTGTGAATTTAATGTTGTATGGATATTTGGACATGAAAAATGAAGAAAACTCATCACCACCACCTACTGTCTCCGTTCCGCCACTGCTAGCCACCATCTCGGGTGACTGTGGGCTATTGGGTGTGATTGGATTGATGTTGGAGTGCTTTTGATGTTGTGTTGGCCCAAGAACATAACCACCACCATCGTGAGGTGGTGACTGCCACCAAGTGCCACCGTCGACCACCACAAGGGCGGTTGTGTATGTGTGAGTTTGTATTAGTGTGAGTGTGTTTTATTTTGATATTTTACATTGTAAATTGTAATAGTGTCAGAATAATGAAATGAAAGCTCATAACCATCACCATAAAATGGTGGCTACCGCCTCCTGCTGCCATCAACCGCCATGTTGGGTGGCGGTGTGCCTCGTTTGTATTGTGAATCGTTTGGGATGCTTGGACAAAATGGGCATAAGGAAACCCTAGCAGGCCCAATGGAACCCTAATGTGCCTAAAGGACCCTAAAGGATCTAAGGACTTAACTTTTGGGCCTATTTGGTTATGATTGGATTGAAAACCCTAATTTTGGATATATGGGCTTGGACTTATTGGGACCCACAGTTGGGCGATTGGAATGAAATTGTGAATTACACCCAATCACACCATATGAATTATCTATTAGAGTTATTAATTTAATGGATTAAGTCCTTGATGGGTTAAGTGAGAAACACTTAACCTTAATCATCATTTTATATGAAAACCCTAATTTCACTTGGGCTTTGTGTTGGGCCTTTCTATTAGGCTTTGGTGTTTGGGCCAATAATGGGCCATCCAAGAATAATCATATAGGCTAGGATATGTTGATGGGCTTTAGGGTAAGGCCCATATGAGGGTCTGGGTCCAATTTGGAAAATTGGGCCATAGATGGGCCGTAGTTTGGGCCTTCATGATTATGAGATATTGGGCCAATAGAAATGCTAAATGTTGGACTGGACTAAATGGTTGTGCCTTAGAATAAGATTATGTAAAGGTCTGGGCCCAATTTAGAAAATTGCACCATATGTTGGGCTTCAGCCCACTACTTGAATAATGGGCCTTTGGAGTGTGAGTTGGACCTAGGGATTGGAACCCAATTATTAATTGGGTATTGTTTGATGTTGGCAGTTCGGGACCCCTGTCAACCAACAGTTGGAGTTGCATACGCGGGACTTCAGCAGTGCGAGGTGAGTCTCCTCACCATACAAGTGGGGCGTAGGCACCAAGGCCGGCTCATTTTGTATTATGTAGTACACTAGTTGATGTAGAGATATGTGGTATGCCATTTGGTTATATGTTATATGATTTGTTGTTGTCTATATGATATTTGCATGAAAGACGATGGGGGGATCCCATGACACTTGGATGTAACACCATGTGGGGGAGCCCATGGATTTCCAGCAGGGAAAAGACCATGGGGGTTGGCCCATGGCACACGGGTGTAAGACCATGGGGGCGCCCACAACATCCTTACATATGGATATATGGTAGAGATAACTTTCATAGCTAATGTTATGTGGTAGAGATAGCCTTTATAGCTAATGTGATATGTGACATGTGGTAGAGATAGCTTTTATAGCTAATGTTATATGGTAGAGATAACTTTTACAGGTAACATGATATTTGGTATGTGGTAGAGATATCTTCTACAGCTAATGTGATATGTGTTATGTGGTAGAGATATCTTTTATAGCTAATATGATATGTGGATTGTGTGTCGGGTATGCTCTAGGGAAGTCACTAAGCTCCATGCTTACAATTTTCTTTATGGTTTCAAGTATCATCGTTTTGGAAAGCAAGGGCTCAGCTTGATCGTAATGCACACACCATGTTTTCCACACTATATGATTTTAGGACGAACTCTGATGAATGTTTTTAATTAATTGTGTTTTTGGAATGTCGAATTTAAAGATATATGCATTTGTCTATATTAAAAATGAAGTTTTTACCCTTGATTTTTGGGTTGTTACATCTTTGTTTCTAACATGATTTAAAAAAGGAAGTTATTATCTATATAATATTAAGGAATTCATAGTTGTTTGTTTTAGCAGTAATAAATATGACTGTAGATGTTTATTTTGTTATCCAATGTAACCTAAGATATTATTCATGTTAGAAATTATCTTTTATAATCATTGTAATGGGAAGAATCTTTTACAACCATTTTTTTATTTCTTAATGTTTGTTTTGATATTTATAATTCCTTTTTAACATCATTTTCCTATATGTTTTATTCATATGTCGTTGAATCAAAGAAAGAGAAGATATTAGCTCTTCAAAATGATGCAAAAGAAAATATTATTGATCGTTCTTCTAATAGAAAGTCTTCATTAAGTTCCAAGTTTTTTTTGTAGATATTCATCTTCTTCCAAAGGAACTTCGTCAATCAAAGTTGTAAAAGTTAATAAGGTTTTCAAAGTCATTACAAGTTGAAATGAAGATGATGATTTTGTTTATGCTCCTATTGTTAGTCAAGTAAATGTTAAGAAGGCTAAAATTACATACATGTATCCTCCAAGTTTAATATATACTATATAAAAAAAGTCTTAATGATAATTAGATAGATGCAGTTAGCGAAATAGGGTTTGGATTTGTTGAACACTTTGTGGTTAAAAAAATTTCTAGGGAAACGTGTTCGTGGGTTCTTGAAACATGTGATGAAAAGAGATATGTTTTATGTATCAACAATAAAGATATTCATATTACTAGGAGAGGTGTGCATTAGATATATGGACTTCCAATGGGTGATATTTCTATGAAAATTCATAAGAAAAGTCGTTATGGGATTTTTGTTATTAAAACCTAGAGGAATCAGTTATCTATTTCTAGGATTAGTCTTCCTAATCTAAGAGAGCTTTTAGAAAAAGAACTGATTCAGGTTTTATGTCTTTATTGAATTTTTTGTTTGCATATGTAACCATCATGGATGATGGTCCATCTAAGGGTACATGAAACAAAAAAAATTTAGAAATTTTTCATGAAGAAGTGTCCATTAATGACCTTGATTGGTGTAGCTTTGTAATTAACTGTTTAAATTAGAGAAAAAAGTTGTTGAAATTTGAATCATATTAATTTCATGTCAAGAATCCTCAATACACTGGTCCTGTTGCATTTTTAGTCATAAGTTTAAATTTTATATTTTTTTCAATTATTTTTTCTCATTTTAATTATTAATTATATTTTGTTTTCATGCTATGTTGTTATTGTATATTCATTGCACAAAGTCATCTTTTGAGTCATTGCAAAAGGGTATATTGTGCATCATCATCTTAATGGCCTCTAATTAAATTTAAAGATAAATTGAAAGTAACATTTAGTGATGGAGGTTATGAAAAAGTTGAAGTTGTTCAAACATATGAAGAGTTTGTTGATGATGCAATAGTTAAAGATTCAGAAACAAGTTTATATATATATATATATATATATATATATATATATATATATATATATATATATATATATATATATATATTTCATTTTTATGAAATATTTTTATTTTTATAATTAAATTTAATTATTTTTTTAATATGTTAATTTAATAAAAATTATTTTTTATATTTGTAGATGAAGAACACATTAGTCTTGCTAATGTTTTGAGAAGAAGAATGGAAAAGAAAATGATGAAAGAGAATGAAGAAAACAAATATGATGTTTTTATGAAAAAGAAAACATATATTAAAAAGATGAGAAAGAATATTCATTTGAAAAAAAAAAAGTTCAAAGAAAAAAAATATGAAGCTCAACAAGTTAGGGGTAATTTGCCTTTTGAATTAATTTTTATGTTTATTTTTCTTTGTAATTTATTACATTTTTTTCTGTTTTTTTAATCATTCTGAAAAAGGAATCAATATGGTTCATGAGAAATCAATTGAAAAAGAAGTTCTTATTGTTTTCGATATTGCTGACAAACTGTTGAGAATCATTGCTACCGGTTGATCTAAAACCAATTGGTGTTAGAAAGGATGCAACCTTACGCATATAGTGCATTCAGCCCTCTTGGACCAAGCATTCGATTGTGGCACTCCATGGCATCGTGCGGGAAATTGATCGATGGCATTTCGAACCCCCAACATCCCCCCCCCCCCTCAGAAATTGCTCCCTGAGAGAATCGAACTCTCGTCACTAGCTCTAATACAACTTGTTGACCATGAGCTTTACCGGTTGATCTAAAACCAATTGGTGTTAGAAAGGGCACAACATTACCCATATAGCGCATTCAACCCTCTAGGACCAGGCATTCGATAGCGGCACTCTAGACCATTGTGCAGGGACTTAGTCGATGCCATTTATGACCCGTAACACAAATGAAAAAATGTTGTTGAACATAATATAAAGGAAAATTATGTGAGAGATAATGGTGAGTTTTATTTTTTATTTTTTATTTATATTTTAATTTAATTTAATTATATATTTTGAATCAGTTCATATTTTTGTGGCTAATATTAATAGAGAAAAGAAGTTTGTTCAAGAGAACATAATTGATAATGAATTGATAAATGATGGTATGTTTCTTTTAAGTTTTTAATATATATTTTGAATTTTTTTTAGTTGGTTTTGATAAATATTATAATGTGAATGAAGATTGGATGGATAGCAATCCTTCTGTTCCTCGATTTGATAATATCCTTGATGGTTCGAAGTATTTAGAGGTATATATGCTTTTGCATTATGTTTTTGAATCATATTCTATTGTATCATTTTTTTCATTATGTTTTGATTTTAATATTATTTTACAGGATTTTAAGGAGAATATTGATTTTTTGTTTAAAAGTTATAGTTATTTGAAGTCTACCATCGATCATGTGATCAATCAAGTTTGGAATCAGTTCCCAAACAACAAAGAGATTTTGGAGTATGCTGATAAAAGAAATGTTGAATTTAACCAACTTCATCAAAATATTGAATTGTCTTGTGATCCAGAAGTAAATTAGAAGGTTGAAGTTTCCACAGATTTTTCGAATGTTGAAAAACAAAATGAAGATGTTCAGCTTTCTTTTTAGTTAAAAGAAGTTCAACTTGATCAATTGTCGCTGACATATTTTTTGGATCATCCTAGGGTTCAAGAACAGTCGGAGGTGTTAACAAATACAAATGAACTTTTAGAAGATCATAGTATTGAGCCAAGCAAAATATTGAGTCATCCAATTGTTTCAAATCAGGTTCATGCTCTTGATGGTACTATTTCAAACTGTTTAGGAAAGTCTTCTTCTTTTTATTCACATCATGATTTGGTTATTGGTGAATCTTCTACAAGCACTGTAGGTCAAGTTGTTCGATTCAAACATGTAGGGGTAGTTGAAAATTTGTCTAAAGGGAATTTGTTGGATTCAGACATTGGTTTAGATGTAGGTTTTAGAACCCAAATCATCCAATTCCTCTTAATAGTTCTATGGAGAAGATTAAGGAATCTCTCATTTTGTCTCCAATACGAATTCAGTTTTATAACATCAATGCCAAGCCAGGTAGACCAAAAAGAGATCTACAACCTGCTCTACCACTTTGTTCACCTTATCATAAAAAAGAAGTTGATACAACTGAACGCATTTCACGTTTGGAACAAAGGGTTGCGGGTTCTCCGTTTTTGGCTATGTATAATCCCAGGTATTTCCTTATTGATGTTTTTTATAATATTATTTTTTTAATCTTAAAAGTTTAGTATATATTTTTATAATCTTAATTTTTTTAGGGAAAAGATCTATGAATCTGACAATGGATTTGCTGGTATAAGATCTGTGATGGAGTCTCTCATACCAGGTTGTAGGATTCACGGAGGTGTTATTGATTTATCGTCCGTTTTTCTAATTGATCTTGAAAAATATAAAGGTCACACTACTTCTTCAAGGTTTTTTCATGTAATGCTCACTTATCGTATGATCCATATTCGTTTTTTATATTTAATATTTTCTATTTTTTTTTTTCATTTTTAGACAAATATTATTTTCAAGAAGACGAATAGTATTAATGCACGATTTGTAGACATAATTCAAAGTAATTTGGAAATGTTTCTATGTGTTAAAAGTTTACGTGTTAATTTGGTATGTTAATTAATTATTTTTTTATTTTTTTATTTAAATTAAATTAACTTTTATATATATATATATATATATATATATATATATATATATATATATATATATTTCTTTTTAACATTTTATTTTTTCAACAAGTATTCTTTCTTATTCTTAGGAAAGAACATTACTTTTTGATTGTTTTTTATTTAATCAACAGAAAGATGAAAATGATTGATAACCACATTACTTCGGAGAGATCCCTACAAAATATCACGGTTTTCTTGATAATTTGGTACTTATTGTTTTGTTTTTTATTTATTTTTTGTTTTGTATTTTTATACTAATAAAAAATGGTTTATGCATAAGACAATGTTTAAACCGTATTTGACTATTTCAGATCATCCTCGAGTCAGTTAATTCAAAATAATGTAGATGGAAAGGTTTCAGATGGACATGCTGACTAAAGACAATGTTGTTGACTGTGGGTTATTCATGATGAGACACATGGAAGTTTGTCGTGGTGGTGGAGTGGAGAAGTTAGATGCTGATTTTTTGCCTGAGTGTACCATTCAATGGATGCAATTGGCTAAAATGAGGAAGAAATATGTTTGAAGTTGTTTTTGTCAGACATGAATTGGTGAAAAGGTTCATTTGTTACAACTCCTCAGGATTATGATAATCTAACAAGCTACAAGTGGAAGAAGATTTACACTGAAGGTTATTTACACGAAGTTGAAGTCAGGGTTAAAGCAATAGTTGTTCTCTGATTATTGGATGTTTCTTATTTTGAAAATATTTTGGTTTTTATGTGTTTTGATAAGGAAGACTATATAAGTAACATTGTTTATTTTCAGTTTAGAATATATATATATCTATATATATATATATATATATATATATATATATATATATATATATATATATATATATATATATATATATATTGATGATCATCATCATATGGTAAACTATGATACACTTATGCTATGAAACAAACTTTGGTTTATAATTATGGTAAGGAAGTCTATATAAGTATGCTTGTTTATTTTATGTTTAAAAATTAAATATAATTTTTTTGAATGATCACCATTATATGGTAATTTATTATCCACTTATGATATGATACAAAATTGTGTTTTATAATGTTTTTGATGCAAATTATTCATAAAAATATGATTGATATTAACAAATATTTCTTTATTCCGCTATCATATATGAATAATATGATACTTTTATTTTTCTAGTGGAGAGATCCTATTAAAGAGACTTTAGCGACACTTTAAGTCAAATACGTTCTTAGTTAAAGAAAATAGCGGTGAAAAACGTTATGTATGTTAGTATGTGGCCTAACAGGTTTTTAAGCCTTGTCCAAATATAAAAGTGTCAAGGTTTATAAGTTTTGTTTGTGACTCAATGTGTTTTTAGATAAATATTATTATAGTTAATTCAAAGTTGTATATTCGTTTGAAAAATATTTTGATCATTGTTTGATGATGCAATTTCATTGTTTCAAATTTTATATGATTTTATAAATTAAATTCCTTACATTATATTAAAAATACTATGTATAAAGTCACGAATCGAAATTGTTCTTCTGCCACTAATATTTTTTAATCTTTAATAAATTTTATGTTAAATAACTATTTAATTTTTTTGGATCAAAGCTTTTGAATAAAAAAGATATAGAGATTCGAAAAGAAATTATCATTTATAACACCATTTAATTTAAAACAAATTGAATATTTATTTGAATAAAATTTTTAATCTTATTAAAAGCTTATAAATAATATTTTGCATCAAAATTTTATTTATATATAAAGAATCAAAAAGAACTTGCTATTTTGAACATCATTCTAATCAAACTATCAAACATTTTTATTAAAATATTTTATTTATAAATTAATGAAGCAAAATTCTTTATTTTTGTGAATTAATTTTCAGTTCTTATTAAAAAAAATTATATCTATAATTTTGAATCAACATTTTTGCATCAAAAATATAAATATAAAAAGATTAGAAAGATTTTACCATTTAGAATATTATTTTATTTAAACATTCAAAGAATCTTATCAACTACTTTATAACTCATATTTGAATCAAATTGTTTTGCATAAAAAATATAAGGGTAATATGATTCAATAAGAGCTTAATATTGTGAACACCGTTTTATTTAAAACATCAAACAAACTTATTAATCAATATATAGTTCTTTTTTTTTAAATATATCAAACAAATTTAATATCCATCAAACATTAGATCTCGCTTCTTCTGTTGCGAATTTATGACAATTTCGTCCATCATGTTTTTCACTTGTGCCATATTTTATGTTTTTATCACATTTATGACATTTTCTCTCATCCTTCTTTGTTTTTTGCAACAACAATCTCTTTATTCTCCTTCATTATTTTCTTTGTTTTTCGAACACCTTTGTTATTGATTAATGTAGGAAGTAATATGTTTACTTTCTCTTTTTGTTCCATACTTATCAAAGTCTCAATAACTTATGTGTTTTTTTATTAATTTTGCATTTTTTGTTTCATTGTCATTTGTCAACCTTTGTCATCTTCTCATTCATTTCATTTCTGAACAATATCGATTTGTCAAAATCATTCACCAGCCTATCAATGTAGAACTCCAATACAAATTCTAATTCGCGTATAACATATTCAATTTCTTTTTTGTGTATCATGGTACCACATATTTGTCCATCTTTTTGTCAAATATGCTTTAGGATAACTCTCCACACTTTCCATTCTTAAAACATAGAAACAGTGTCTGTATATGATTCATGTCAATTCAAATTTGAAGCAAGAACAAATAAGTTTTTGATTGGATTTAAAAAGTTTAACCTATAAAAAAGATAGTAAATAGTTAATATAAGTTAATAGAGTTAGGTTCATATACATCTAACAAATATTGTGTGAATGTAAGGACCAATCACAATTTAAGAAAAAAATAAAATATTAATTAATATGGATATAGTTAACTATAGAAAATAATTAAAGCATTTAATTTCCCCTTAAATGAGGGATGTCGGTTACATATTAACAAGCGAAATAAAGTCCTCCTTCATTATTTATATGAAAATCAATATTCAATCGGAAAAAGGATACTCATGGTTAAAACTCATACGATAATTATCAAGTATGTCTCATATATATTCTTTCCTTTTATTAATTGTTTATATAAAAAAAAGATTTTTATATTTCACTAACGTCAATTGATAAAAGTTACATGAGCCTAAACCATTTTGCCTTTACATAAGTAAGAAAAAAAAAACAAAAGGAATTGAAGAATTAAAATAATAATTTTAGGGATTTTGTTTCTTAGTGTGGTATTTTTTTGTATATTATTTAAAAATCTAATCATATTCTTATAGAATATGTTTAGTTTCTTTTTCTTTTGCACATCTATAATATTGATTTATAATTTGTTTTTAATGCTGAAAGAATGGAGTGTGGAGTGAGAATGATATGTTATTGATGGATGTATGGGGTGTATTCTTTAAGAATATTACTTCTCAACAAATAGTATTCTTTAAGAATGAATGAATAAAAAAACTACTAAATGCAATCGTCTTCTTTACAAATGAAAATTCTTTAACAATGAATGAATCAAAATACAAGTTCATATTTGTTGAATGAAGCCATATTCTCAAAAAGTCAGATTTATTTTAAATTTATCGAATAAGATGTTATATTTTGGTTTAACTTTTATTAATTAATTCTATATAGTTTCCTAAAATGCAAACAAATCTTAAATTCTCTTTCTTTACAATATTCCATTTTTGCCGTTACAATTAATTAGGTATAATTATCCAATATATGCTAGTCTATGTTAACAATATGTACCTTAAAATCACAATCATTTATTCTTTTAATCTAGTGGTCTAGATTTGGTCACACATTCACACAATACTTATGATTCACATTTAATCCTAACCCTAAGTTAATATAATATGTGTAATATAATTGTAATTTATAATGTACCTCAAATTGGCCATGATGTTTTGGATGTTTGCTTGTATCTTTTATTGTGAATGTTTTTAATTCTTTTTATTCTTCTTGTCTTACTGACATGCAACTAACCATTGATACAAGAATCTCTAATTCAAAATCAAAGAAAACATTTATTGTGAAGAATTCAACTGCTTCAACTCTAAGTTTCAATCCAGTTTTAAAATACGATTTTGTGTATCTTGAATCATGATAATTTTTTCTTTGAATGCATCTTTGTCCTTCTAATGCAGTATCAAAACGAGTTGAAAATTCAATCAAATGCAAATCTGAGTTAGAGAGTAGCCCATAGAAATAATTTTAAGCTTCAGATCTTGATGTAGTCATCATCAATCCAGAGAATGTGCATTCTTTGAAATAAACGAGAATCCATAAATCTCTTATTTTGTACATCTCGTAAACCAATTGTTTTCATTTAAGTGAAACTCAACCATTAAGTTTTTCCATGTTAATTCAAAATCTTCTTTGAGTATTGTTTCATTTCAAATTAGATCGCTCAACTTTTTAAAGACATTTGTTTTTGTCATATGACTTCCCAACTGCATACATATATATAAAATTAAAAAAAAAACATTTTATAATTTTATACTAACATTGTCTGTAAATTATTCAGATATATGTCACATACACAATTTGTATCTTGCACTCTTGAATAGGGCTGATACTACTTGTAAAATTGAAGCATCTTGATCTGTCACAATCACATTTGTTTGTTTGAGAAATGTTTTTTTAAAGCATGTAGTTGTGATGAGTAAGATTCAATGCTTTCACTTGGAAGTAACCCAGCTCCAAAAGTTATGTATCGTTTATGGTTACTTATACCAGTAAATGGTACAAAAATCATTATATATCTGTAAAACAAATAAAGGAAAATTTTATTTATTCAAATTTTTGGTAATGATGCAGATTATTTATTTAAAATTTTTAATCATGATGCTAATTATTTATTTAACGTTTTAATATTATAAAAGTAATGATCTAGTTACTTTTATATATACAATTTCAAAAATATAATTACTATTTTTGATAGATTATTCTTTCATAAAAGTAATGATTTTAAATAGAATGATTCAAAAATATAATTTACTGATTTATATGTTATATATTTAAATTTGCCCTATTTTAAGTAATAATCAAATGATTTAATAAAAAAAGTATTAATATTAAAAAATTTCATAAATGATTCTCTATAATAATTATTATAAATATGATGATTCAAATGATAATTACGTCAAAGATTCAAATGATTTTTTAATCTTTTATTATAAAATTTAAATTCAAAAAATCTAATGATGCAAAAAATTTATGATTAAAATTAATGATCCACTATTCTAATATTTTTAAATTAAATAATTTAAAATTTTAAGTAAATTATAGAGTCATTTACTTGTTTGTTTGGTAAGTTGCATCAAAACCAACAACATCTTCAAAGACATAATAGTTTTGTTTTACTTCTTCATGTTCTCAAAACTAAGGTTGTCAAGATCAGGATCCTACCTAGGATCGTTTTTAGGTTTGTAAGATCGGAATCGTAAGATCGGGATCGAGATCCTAAGATCCCACAAAATATAATATAATTTTAATTTATAATATTTAATCGTGAAAAATATTTCAAACATTTAATTTTTCGTTTAAAAGTTATAAAAACTTCGAAATATTAGTCATAAGTCACAATAAAAAAATGATAAATGGTAGATTGGTAAAGGGTAAAAGACATAAAGTGGTAAAAAAAATTATTTGCAAAAAAATAAATAAATAA